TTCTTTATTACACATGAAAGTGCTGACAAACACTTTGCGATGCTAATAGGCCAACTGTGTTAATGTGTGTAAACTATTCAAGGTGGGGAAGACACAGTGATATTCGTGGGAGGTGTTTCCAGATATTTAACAGAAGCTTTTTCTTCGTGACTTCACAGTGACTGATGTCATTTTTGGGTAAAAGCCCATGAATCCCAATGCACGTCACTGGATTAAAACTGGATTATCTCTTATCTGGACTCTTGCAGTGAGGCCTGGTGAGGTCTGGAAAAATGTTGTGGCTAAGACACTAACAAAAGTCCTGGATAAACATCCTGCTGTTTTTTTCACCTCTATTGAAACCAAGTGGTTTGCATCCTCTACCTTTAATTTACTATTATAGAAAAAGGTTTGTATTAAATCACTGAAAAAATAGAAAATTACGACATTCCCCTTTGTGATCTGACTTTCAAACACCATCATGACATGTCAGTGTTGAAAAGATTTCTCCTTTATTACCTCCTGTTTTTGTTTGTTTGTTAGAAGAATTACACAAAAAGTTGAGTAGAGATTTTATTAAAACTTGGAAGGATAGGGAATGGGGCAATAAACCTGAGCTCTGAGCTCCCTCCTAGTTGTGGCTGTAAATTTCATCAATTTTATTTTATCTCCTTTTGAAATACAGAGCGTATAAAAAAAACTGTCAGTGCTAGCAGGCTTCTGAAATAAACTGTACTCTCTCTCAAGGATTCTCTATCCAACGTGTGTTCTATGAAGGTTTGTCTTAAAATATCACCAGTATTTTTTAATAATCGTATAATTATATCTCTAAAATACTGAAATATCTGTCAATCATCTTATGTAACTTGTCAAATGAGGACATAGACGTCTGTCTGGGCTTTAAATGGAAACTTACGGTTGATCTTAAGTGTTGATGATGTATACAAATCACTGCTTTAACTGTTTAAACCATAATGTGATTTATAGAAATCAGGGTTGAGATTTCATTCTTCCATACTTAATAAAACAATTTAGTATTCTGTGCTTTTTATTCCCTTTAGGGCCTTTTCCATCAGACCCAACTTGTAAATTAAAAAAGAATGTATCAGGTGGTTTTTCTGAGGCTACACAGCACTGAGGTTTCATTGGAGAGAAATTAGTCATTAACTAATAACTGTTATCAACTTTAAGATCGCGTTACACTAATAATAATAATAACTAATAAAACAGGACAAGTATTCAAATCTGTTGTCAGCAAAATAAAGGAAAACGAATATCAAGCTAAGTAGTGAAAGAGCGCCATCTGCTGTGACATCAACAAACTACAGCAGTGAATTTGTATGAGGTGCTCAGGTTTGCTTTTATTTGATGATGTTATTTCCTCTATTCTCTTTGTAATGCAGATTCAAGCTTTGAAAGTTAAATTAAATCTAAAGAGAAATGATCTGGGCACTAGAGT